CTTTGAATTCAGGATATTCTCCTGACATGACCCTGATGGGCTGCATGTGAGGAAACGAGTCAGAGTGAGAGTCTCTGGACATTCTCTGGAGTTTCTCTGGAGGACAACATAGACGCCACCTACTAAGATGCCAACTTAGAAAGACAATGAGATCGGAGAGTTTTTTGGTGATACGGGCTGATGCCAGTGCTGATGTAAACAAAAACACATGCTCTCTGCAGCAAAAGTCATTACATCCTGCCTCTGCCTGCTGCACCCCCTCATCACCAGAATGCTCTGGAGATTTCTGTGTTGTTTCGAACCTGTTTCACTGGAGAATCTCATGCTGTGCTGTTCATATGTTAAAGGAAAACTCCGATTGTTTGGATGTTCTTCTGAGTTCATGTCAGAAAGTGGCTTGGGGCTTAGTAAATGGTCAGCTGGCCAGTAGTCAAACCAGGGACCTGCTGCTCAAGACACGTCGTACACACCCCAACCATTTTGCTATCAGGTCACTCCCTGCGTTCTAGTTTTTTGGAACCAATAGAGATTTTAACTTTTAATATTACGTGCTGCTGTACTAATTCATCTTAGAATATGGACAGTGCACTCCAGACATGTTTCAGGAGCAGACAGAATCTTGCGGAGCAGAGACTAACCCAGATGTGATGTCAGGACTTTACTTCTTTGTCTGATGGATTTTCATCTTTGTTCCAAATCCCTATCTCTAGACGACTACATTGTACTTTCCATGCAACTTCCAGCCTCACGCTTCAGTTCTCTTCCAACATGGGTTGGATACAGTGTGAGAAGAAAACTGCACCACTGAGCCCCAGAGCACTATGTGTGATTCTATGGCGCCCAGCTGGATGCTTTGAAATGATATCTCATTTCATGATATTACTTTTCGTTAAAGCCCACGGCTGCAGCAGCAGAGGCCCAGCCCTGAGCCACGAGAGGAGAAGTGCTGCAGTGCCGGGCTCTGTTCTGGCCCGTGTGAACTGAGAGCCCAGGGGCGATGTACGGATAAAAAGGTTTGAGCTGTGCATGCAGAGGGGAGACAGAGAGGGGGGAGGGGGGACATTGGTGGGCAGCAGGAGCTCCGTGACGTGACAGCAGAAGATCCATTTAGATTAGGCAGTTTTAATATCCTCTGAACTTTCCAATAAACGGCAGTTGGAGCCACTGCCGTTCTGCTGTCGTTTGATTGTCCATCACCTTTGACGTTTTGAATTGCTGCCAAGACTGTGTGATGGTTTAATTGCTTGTTGTTGACATAACAGCAGAGATACAAAGCCAATCTGCTCCCGTCTACTGTAAGGCAATTCAGAGACAATTACACAAGCGTGCGGAATAAGCATCGCCAGCAGGTAACATGAATGAAACATTTCCAGGAAATATGCTGAAATATAATTATTAATTATCTACCCTCTATTATTGCAATGTGCTTGAGACATAAATAAAAAAAGGTCATTTCCCTCGCTGGTCGAGCTGGAGGGTCTCCTCCACATTACAGGCCCTTTATTAAATTCCAGCATGTTCTACAACTTAAATACCAGCGCTGAGAAATAATGAGAAAAATTTCAGCTTCTGTCAGAATGGGTCTGTTCCTCACACAAAACTTTTCTATCCAACTGATTTCTTTCCTATTCAGTGAGTCAATCAGAGAGCCAGACCCATGACTAGTCGAAATAATTTCAAACATTTAGGGTATAAAAGAGTGGAACTAAGAAAAAGCAAAGTTCAGTCAAACTCAGTAGATAATGATGCATCCAGATGGACGATACACATCTTTGGCATTCTGGAGTCGCTTGATTTACAGCAAGGATTTGTCTTCCTCTTTCCTCTCACTGTGTCTGTGTTAATGGCAGCTGTTTCTCACTTTAAGGCTTTTTGCTGTTCAAATATCGCTGAGCTTAAACATCGGCCGCACCGGTAATGAAGAGAGCAACCAGGTGGCTTCTGATGAGTCCACACCTTTATGCAGCAAAATACACTTGGGGGGGGATTGATTTAGTAAACAAGTCTCATCTTGGTTCGCTGTTTTTCCGAACTAGCCCACGGCCTCCAACCATGTGCCATGAGTGTGTAAACAGAACCATCAGAAAATCCTGATCATGCTTTATATGCTACACGCAGAGTTCACATTGGAAAAGCAGATACTGGAGGCAAAAAAGACCATTTGCAGTCAGTTGATGATAAATATATAAGATTAGTATTAGAATGTAGCTGTTAGGGGCCTCTGTTATATCCTTACTTCAATGATAGTTCATAAAGTCAAACATGTAAAGGGAAACAAAGTACAATATTGCAAATGTGAAATAAATGATATGTGATATTTGTTTCAAATTGTGTGGACTGACAATGTAGACCACAAGACGGCAGACATCTTTAGTTTGTAGTTACAGTGAAGAAGATACTTTGCTAGCAGGGGGAAGATTGTAACAATGCAATGCCATACGTTGGTCCGTGTAATGACATGCAGTTGTTCAGTAAAAGTCAGAGACGTGATGTTCCCCCACAGCCTCACTTATGAAACTCTCCGTCGGGGCCATACCACACGTTTACATCCCTTAGGTGCCGTCAGTTCAGGCAGTGCTTCACTAAAAATAGACACCAGTAAGACGATGCTAAAGTGGAAGCGACATCTCTTTCTTGCCTCTGATCTCAGAGCAGTGTTTATTCAAAATGAACTGCCCACTTGTGATGGCAGCAGGCTGGTGCCTCTGGAAGCTAGACCGTGTAGCTGACAATGTTACTTATCATTTTTGACCTTTTTATGGGTGTGACCATGGGGCATAGTAGCTGAGTCAAGCTGCCCTGGACTCACTCCACTGCTCTGAGATCAGGTTTCTTGCACGCATTATTCTACACATGCATAATTCGGGAACTAATTGCAATTTAGAAAATTACCTCAACAGTCTTGTTATGCTGGCAGCCGCCTGTAGCGGCTTTAAAGGACTGGCCATGCAAGGTAAGAGGGTGGATGTGTGAGGGTGAGTCCAGTCACTGTAGCAAAAAGTAAGAATATAGCAGTATAGCTAAAAGTGGAATGTATGTGCCGATTACACTGATGGTAAATAAATGCTCCAACTCCTCAAGAACCAAGACAAGAGCCCTCCCCTCACTGATCCCATGTGCCCTGGCTAGCAGAGATAACGTTACATATCCTGAAACCCATCTACGACTGCTGTCAGATACAGCTATGACAACATGGCAGTAAATTACAGTGTCATTAACCAATTACTACACACAACACACACACACACACACACACCAATCAAAGTGAAAATGTGCCCACTTGTGTGAGCCTCGTATTCTACCCCCAACCCTCACCCAATTAACCACAAATGGTCAATCCCTCATGAATACTGATAAACATTGTTATGGAGGAGGATGCATTCAACTCTGAACACCATCAATGGCATGGACTGAGGCACTGAGGCACAGGGGCACCAGATCTCACCTCTTGGCGTTTGTTATGTGCACAGACACATAAATAAAGACACCACATTTTGAGTGAAACAACACTGATTAAAACCATATTTAACTGGATCAAACAGGCGTCCTCTTCACAGTGGATGAGGGCAGGTGTTGGAGAGGTGTCTGGTGAGATGCTGGAGAAGGCACACTGTCTCTGTGTGGCTTCACAGTGCCACTGACAACACAGTCATGTTTGCACTCAGGCAGTTTTTGAACAAAACAATCAAAATGAATGAATAAATGAATGAATAGTAATTAAACTCAGCATTGGTGAAATATTCACAACACTAGATTTTGGTATAAAGCTAACAATGCTTTGTTCTCCAGTTGTATACGGACATCTGATGCAATTTGATGATTATTTAAATATCATAGGAATGAAAATAAATCAGTTGTAATATTGGGCGAACTTCATTCATGGAATACATTTCCACTACGAGGTAGTAGATAGTGGTATCGGCTCCACTTTACATCTAAATGCTTTGACTGTTCACTTACGCTTTGTGTTTTCGCCTGCCTCAGGTAACAACCATTTGTGGTTTTAATGTTATTAACAATTAAACAAGTGATCATTTAGTCACGTGCTAGCAAACTAGACAAACATTATATCTTGGAAACTCACTAAGTGGTAAATGGTCTGTATTTATATAGAGGATCTATGAGCAGCACTTTTTTATAAGGAAATCATACAGGCAACTCAGGGTTCAGTATATTGCTCAAGGACACCTTGGCATGCAGAAGGCCGTGCTCGAACTGCCAAACTCTTGATTAGAGGTCAAACCACTCTACCCCCTGATCCACAGCCACCCAGACACATTGTATAATTTCACAGCTTAATATTAATCACTTAGTGATACTATTGACAGTCTGTTCTGCTCATTCAGTGCTCACTGACCATTTGCATTTTCTAATGAGTTTTACCAAGCAACAGCAGCAGCTTACAATCTGTTACCTGTGGTTGGATTGGCTATGTGTCACTCAGAGCAGAGTCAGCCAATCACGAGAGACAGACAGACAAAATGCCCCAGACTAAAGAGAGGAGGTGTAAAACTACTTAAAACCACAAATATATATCTTCATATGGATGTCACATCTTCACATGAATGATCAGAAAGGGACCTTTAAAACAGAGATGCTCATGAAATCCATATATACAACTGAAGACCTGAGTGTAGATGAAGTGACATGAAACCGTTATTAAATCTGGCTTTTACCCAAAATTCTCCATATGAAAAAAACCTTTCAATTCCTGAGTCCTTTGATAAAATACATTTACTTACTGTAATGGCCCTGCCCTTTAAAACAGATTTTGTGGTTATAAGTATAGAAACACTTTGCATTGCAAAAACACATTTTGATGATTTTATCCCACTCAGAGCTTCTAGCAAGACACAAAACCCCACCACAACCTTGTTATACTCAATACAGTTTTCTTAATTTTTGGTTTAAAGTGATGAGGACTTTTTAGCAGGTCAGTGATGGAGAGCGAGTGCACAGCTGTGAACTTACGCACTGAGCTATGAAATACTGTTTCATACCTGTGAGGTATTCTGGGTCGGGCACGGGGTCTGACAGCTCCTCGTGGCACTGAACCTCAGTTGGCACCGATGCCACCACCATGCCGTCTGGGAGCTGCTGCTCGATGCCTCGGGCAAAGTTCTTCTGCCTGATGTGAGGAGAGACACAACAGGAGGTCCTGTTTAGAGACACGAGCACTCAGACGCTAACGTGTGAGGAGAGAGAGGAGGGCGGTGGAGGGATTTAAGAATGGGAGGAAATAGAGCGTAATGCAACAAAGGAAAAAGAGGTTGATGAAGCAAAGGTACGGAGCTAAAACAGCAGCACACATGATACAGTCAGTCGAGTTTATTCCATGTTTCCTTTTGGTGGTTTTGATGTGAATAAAGCTGTTAGTCAATCAAAGTGAAATGTTCACATCTAACACAAACACAGACGTCATCCACAAAATGATGTTTTAGGGCCAATTAGACACAGTTAAACCGCCACTGTAAAGGCCATAGCTCCAATTAAAAAAACAAAAAAACATTTAAGATCAAATTCCATGATTTAAAATGTCATTAACTCTGTTCAGACCTCAGGCCAGATGTAAAAAATAATAATTAATCATTTCAGCAACTGTACAGTGAGAATATGAGTACCTCAAGCTGTTATCAAAATAAAATGGAGTAATATTTGTTCTAGTATACAATATTTTCTTATTATCTTTCATTTGCAGTTTAGGGGAACAGTTATAAAATGAATTTTCTATTTACTCTGAGGTGTAATTTCATTTCCTTCTGTGTGTTATTGTTCTGTTACAGTGGATCACTGTAAATGCTAAATCTCTGATTATCTTTCTATAGTGTAAAGATGATGATGTGTGGGATACCATCACCACTGAAGATCTGTATGTGATTGTGATGAATAACTGACACTAATTAGAGTTGTGTGGCCTTGATGGAGAATATTGCTGTGTTTTTTTTGGACTTTTTTTTTTTTTTAACAGATCTGATCAAGGTTGAGTTTCATCCATAGAAATCCAGCTGTGGGACAGGAAATGAGGCTTGTGCATGTTGGAGAGTTTTAAAACAAACATTGAGGGGGGGTGCATTCTGACCTGGTTTCCAGACCAAAACATAAAAAGGTGCACAGTTCTTTAAATTGTCTTGCATTCCCATTACTAGCGCAATGTCTCCTCTAAATATCTATATAGGTCTGTTAAGCAATCGACAATCTTCAGACCCAAGTTCACAATTTTTCAAAATAAAAGCTGTGTTATTCTGCCTGACTTAAAGTACTGTAACTACTTTGTAGATACAGGAGAAGAGGAGAAGAGATTCTATGAATGTTGCTGCCATGACAGAGATCAGCACCTTCACCACCCATAAATGTCTGTGTCAGTCTGAAGTGGTGAAAGAGATTAAACTAAAATGATCTGGGGGAGCTGCTTGCTCACCACTACTGTAATTAATTCATGTAGGACATTTTCAAGCCCAAGATCACATTTTAATTCCAGATGTAAGCCAAGTTCTACCACCCCGATATCCTCCAAAAACACACATAGGAGGATCAGATTTATTATCTTTGCAATTTCTGTTAAAGGCTCAATGTATGAGTTTGCATACACACAAAGAAAAGCAGTTACAAAACTTTATCTATTGAAAATATCTGTTTGATTCAATCCATTCACAAGTACAGCATCTGTTCAATGCACAATATTTAGGTTCTCAGTCCAACAGTATGAAGCCTTGCATCTTCCGCTGCCTGCAAACATTTGTTTGGGACATTCAACAAACATGCATATTTGCAACATTTCCTGTACCCGTTTCAAAGTAAAAGCAATCCAGCGTTACTGTTGACTGAATCAATTACAGTTTTCTCACAGCCATTATGCGGCACAACCGCAGCCTGTGTCTCCCGAGCGTTTAGGGGATCGAGCTTCTGAAAATCCCATGATTTGATGGGAACTTTTAAAGGTATAGATGACGTTCTTTGGAAATGCTGATAAAGCCGCCTGTAGCACTTTGTGTCTGAAAAATATTATTATTTTAACATCCTTATTAAAAGCAGTCAGGTGAAGGAGTCAGGAGAAAATGAAGCCAGGGTGAAGGATGAAGTAGATCAAAGTTGGATAGGTAACTGTTTCTCATGAGAGGCAGATTCCAGAAATATACTGTTTGGCAGATCATTAATGGAAGATCAATACAGCAGACCAATTATGGAGGACTGTGAACAGACAAAATCTCACATTAACCACATCATTTTTCATTTTGTTGATTGCACTGCTGCAATGTGACTCATCTTCAGTCTGAGTGCTGGCATCCCTCATTTGTCTGTTGTTGCCGGTGACTCCTGTTTGAACTCATTTTGTCCACTCCAACGCTCGTTGTCTCAGCGGCGGCGAGGTTCACAAGAGTCCACAACCCAGTGACTTCCATAAATCAGTAACTCAAGTCATTCAGGAGTCTTGGGACCAAAGTTGACGAGAATATATCTTTTCATCCTCTCATTATGAAGACTCCAGCCTCGTGATATACTGGATAATCGTACAAATAGATTCTCACATACTACTTTGAACCACACTTTGTACTAGAAGACATTAGTGCCAGTGTGTGTGTTTGTGTGCAAAATGAATATAGCAGAACCCCGACAGTTCGTGAATGCACACACATCAGCAAGTTTAAGTCAGTTCGAGGTTATAAATGTCTGTTAATACATTTTGGTTTAATTGCCCAGCCCTAATAGATAATTTTTCAGTAGTTCTGGACATCTGTTTATGGCAAATTTTCTCTCACCAACGTATATTGTCTAGAAATGAAGCATCACAACCCTGACATGGCTGATCAGCTGGAAACAAACCATTAGACGAGTTAAGACAGATTGTTTGAATAAAACATATATATAAATATATATAATACATATATTCTATGGACAAATATCTACAATCTTGTATCCAGGCCAGCTAGGGTTTTTCTTTAAAAACGTTTGATGCACCGAGGGATTTTTTTTCCCCTGGCCTGTCTTCTGTGTCAGTTCGCCCCTGACACCAAGTTTACCAGCACATATCTCCGTTTTGGGCGTTTTCGATTTTGATCCTGACCTCTCCTCTGCTACTGCTCTGATTGATTTGTCTGCCTGTTCAACTGACAGCATGTGTGTAAAACCAATCTTTGCACACATTAGTTTCGAAGCCATTGACTGTTTTCTGAGTTAAGCACATCATTTTCTCATCCCTGCATTTTTCCAGTTCCCACACACAGTCTAGACATATATGGATGACTCATGTGCTGCTGTTTATTTTGCTATCAAATTTCAAGTACCACTTCCTGTATGCTGAGAATATTTCCCTCCAGTAATGGTAACCGACACCAGTTATTAAATTAAGCATAAAAGATCTACAGCATCTCACTTAGACTGTATGGATGTTCTTTACAGTTACAGTCCCATTAAAGATAAAAAGCCTTGCACTTTTAAGAAGTGTCCATTAAAAACATGGCATCTTTATGTTTCACACTTGTGACAGATTTTCTCTTAACATACACAGCACGTAGTTTAAAATTTGATCTTCATGGTGCTCTGGATCTGAGCTGTGCAGAAAAAAATAAGCTTGAATATTTACAAATCGCAAATTGTTGCCATTGGGAAAGTCACAGCTTGAGAATGACAAAAGCCACTGGCTGGAGCAGAAACATTGTAGAGTGGCAGCGTCAAACGGCAGAATTCAAATGACAAATTATTTGCATGGTCATGGCGTGGCCAGGGGAGGGATAAGCAATTAGGAAGAAAATCAGGCTCATAAAAACAACGCAAGGTTAGCTGCCGGTGATGAGAAAAACAGCCGCGGCGCAGTGATGTGGCTGGATGGTCGGGCACTTAAACGCTGTAACACTTCTCCATGCATCTTGAGGCTCTGGAGTGGAATAATGATGAAGAATGATGCAAGAACAAAGTGGAATTTATGGTAACACTGTTCATTGGGTTACACACATCATCAACTTCTACTGAAACTTACTTCATTCTACATTTGCAGCTCAAGACAATAAAAGAAGGTTGGTGTTGACACTGAAGTTGAACATCTTTCAGTTTCTGCTGAAAGCAATTATACTTGTCTTCAGCTGTCAGCTTAACAAAGCACACTGACTGAGTGAATCTCTTGTCTGCTGCATACAGATGTTTTTTTAGTTTTTTTTTTTAGATGCATGCTAACTGGGATGTGGGGGGAGTTTTTATTGCTGCATTCATGTCTGACAATCTTCATTGTTAATTTTGTTAGATGATGACATGTAAAATTGAACAGCCATCTGGCAGAGTGAGGATGTCATCATTTTCTTGGAAGGAATTTTCTTCAAGTGTGAGGAGCTGCCAAAACTTACTAAAGCTAAGATAGTTTTATCTTCTTTTATCCAGCACATTTTTTCTATGTCAGTTTTAAGATATATCGGCATATATGAATTGTCAGCTAGAGCAGTTGTTTCGTCCTTGCAGTCGTCCTTCTGATCATGGATTATTTAAAACGCTTTCCAGAATATTCTCTTCTCCTCTAGTAGGAGAAGAGGTGAATTATTGAAACGAGACAAAACAACAAAAGGATGCTTTCGATTAACAACAACAACCCTTCGACTCATTGACTGGGGCTCGATCCATGCATTTTTGTTTGAAAGCAATGTTTTTCCAACGATTTCAACACCAGCATATTAATAAATATCTATTTTAGCAGGTATTACAATCTGTTCAGTTCGATAGTTAAGTTACTTCATAGACACATTCCTGGAGTGTGATAAAAAAATTTATTTGATACAGTGTTTCTGTTGTGAAGATATCTCAGATACTGTGATGTGTATACTAATCTATTTTTGCACTTTTCTAAACTAATTCGAATAAAGCTACCATTGTGGAATCACTAGCTAAATCTTGTGTGATTATTTCTTCTCGTCCTTCAGGGGCGTAACAGAAACACATGTCCTGTGACCATTCATGTACAGTGGGCTTGTGTGTGCCAAAAAAAGACCCAGTCACCAAGCGGCTCACACTAAAAAGGGGCCAGCAGTGTTGGAGAAGTAAGGACTCCAGGCGTATCTGTAGAGTTGATGCATTTTCAAACAAATGTAGCCTGAGTATAAACTCACAGCTTTCAATGAGAATCAGTGAAGGCCACCATCCACCTTT